TGCCCCGGAGAAAGACGGACCCTGACCCCTGCAGCCCGCGGCGGGGAGACCCCTCGGGGAAGGCGCAGGCGCGGCCGGCGGGCCGGAAGCAGGTGCCACTAGGCGGGCATGCGCCCCCCGCCCCCGCCCCGAATGCCTTGCTTCGATTGGTCAAGCTCTTGGCTCGGGCCTGGACGGTGGCCAGAGTAGGCCAAGCGCTTCCAGACTTAACGGAGCGCTGATGCGGGAGACAACGGAGACTGTGAGATCTCCGGTCCGGCTCTGGGACGTGACGCTGCTGGCACGGCGGAGAGGAACCAGGGGCAACGTCTCCAAGCCTGCTGTAGCCGCCGAGGTAACGGAGGACAGAGCACGGTGGGGCACCAAGGAACTCGGGGGAGGGAGGACAGGAACCTGCGCGTCGGTGGACTTTGTTTCCAATCCCACTGCCTGCCCGGTGAGACCACACATGGTCCCGCTTGTCCCTCGCCACCGGACACAGGGTACAGGACGCTTTTCTATTGCCAATTTTTCTACGTAGAGATAAGTTGTCCTTTCTAGGACATTTATTTATTCATCCTTTGTTATCCAGCAATTCATAAACTCATTCTGTGGATCGTAATACATCAGTATTTGTTGATTATGCCATTGTTTGACCAGTGGGAGTCAGCAACATGGGTCATTTTCACCTGATCCCCTCATCCTGTCTTCTAGCACAAGGTATTCCAAGCTCACCTGCCTCAGAATCAGCTATTTCTCCAATAAGTCCTGCTTTCTATATTTATTAAATATATTACCATAGGAAACTGTTCTTGTCTGTATCCATATATCTTCACATGTATTTAAAAACAACAACAACAACAGCAACAGCTTTATAACGTCACCTCAGTTCCAGTGCAACATCTCAGGGTTTGCTTTCTTTGGTCTCCCCTTTCCATAATTGTATCTCCTCCTTTGAGAACAGGAAGGTTGGCTTTCCCTGTTCATGGTATAGTCACTTAGTTGTTTAATCCTGTAATGTACATAGTTTCAAAATGCTTGCTCATACCATTGTGAAAAATAAGCCAGCTCACTGGAGCTCAGTGCTACTTTTACAGTTGTTTTTGCCCTGGGTTTCTATTATAAAAAATATAAAGGTTACAAAGGCTACCAGAGGTGTTGTGGTTACATAGGCTACAAAATCTCTATAATTAAAATATGAAATGGACGTGTGAATATATAAAAAGGCAAGTAGAATAGAACAGAACAATGAAAAAATAGTTCCAAATGCACACAGAAAGATTAAAGATGGCATCATACATCATTGGGACAGAGTTGGGTTTTGCAGTAAAATGGTGCTGGGCCAAAAAGGATAATCATTTGGAAAAAGACAAAATTAGACCTATGCCTCATCTCATGTACAAAAATAAAGTCCAAATGGACTAGGGGTCTCTGTAAAAAGTGAAACTGCCAAGGAGGAAAGAAAAAAATGATTTTTAAACTATAACTCAAAATTCACAAGCAGCAAATGAAAAAACTGTGATTAATTTGATTACATAAAACATTGAATGACACATTCACCACAAATAAGTCAAAAGACAACAAACGACTAAGAGCAAATATTTGGAACATGTATCACAGGTAAAATCTTTAATATTTAAATTTGAACTTTAAATCTTTTCCAGATTACTTTTCCCCATTTACATTCAGTAGTGGCCCAGTTGTACTTTTTTGCATCAAAATGTCTAAATAAATTATATTGCCTTTAAAGATAAGTATCATTCATTTAAAAAAAAAAAAAAGACGTATGTCCTGTGTTGTAGGGACTCAGAAGTAAACCTGAGGGAGGAATTAATGTTTAAATGATTGATTAAAAATTTTCCAGGAAAAAATAGAAGAGGAAAGCAGGAGAATGGGATCAGGAGGGGAAGAAGGCGAGCCAGCTGCCCTGCAAGGTGCTCTTTGAGCCCCACATCCCCAGCTGAACAGCTGTGAAATCAGTGTAGTGAGTTCCTGATTGACCTTAACCAGAGAAACGCTGGTGGTTTTTGGGTTTGTTTTTCGTTGTTGGATTTATTTATTTATTTATTTATTTATTTATTTATTTTTGGTACTGGCAGTCAAACTCAGGACCTCATGCTCACCAGGCAGATGCTGTGCCACTGAGTTAAATCCCTGGCCTCCAGCAAGCTGGTGTTCTATCCCCACCCCTTCATTCTTTAGCTAAGGATCTAAATTCCCACATACTTGGTGCTGGTTTTATTTTTTTTAAAAATACTAGCTTCAGACAGTGCAAAGAGGATTATTCAGAACCTCCTTTTAAATTTTTGTCTGTGTGCACGTGGAACAGCATGTCTGTAAAACTGTGAAGCTGAAGCTTTCATTCTTTCTGTGTAGACTAGGACTAGTGCCCTTTGTGTTGATCGTTGTCAGTTTTTCTGTTTTTGTTTTTGGGAGGGGTTCATTATGTGTTCCAGGCTAACTTTGAACTCACTGTGTAGTCCAGACTGGCCTCAAATTTGTGGTTGATGCACCTGCCTCAGCCTCCGGAGTAGTGGGGTTACAGTCATGTGCCATCTCACCTGGCTTGTCAAGTTTGAATGTCGTTTGCAACATGAAAACTGCAGTGATGTGTTACTGGTTAGGAGTCTTTGTGCTCTGCGATCCATCTGTTTCAGGCTGTTTTCAAAGCTCACTGGTAATAGTTATGGAATAAAGTTTGTCTTAAGAAAACTGTAGGCTTCATTAAGATTGTGATGAATCAAGCTACAGTTTCCTATTACAGAAAGACATTTATCTGTAAAGTTAATGATCAGTAAATACATGTCTGAACATTGTGCTTCTTTCATCATTTGTACATCTACAAAAAATAATGTGAGAAATGTTTGTTCTTTGGGGTTTTTAAAATTATGTAGCTTGTATCACAAAGAAATGAGCATCCCTAGCTTAAAAAAGACACAAAACTTAAAACGAGATGCTGAAGTAGTATTTGTTGAGTTTTTCCCTTAGGAAGTCCCTTTTTCCTTTTTTCCTTCCCTCCTGTACTAGTTGTAAGGAAGTTACAGTTGTTAGATTTTTTTGGTGAGGTAGGGAAAACAAAAGCAGAAAAACAAAACAAAACAAAAAGACCGTTATTGCTATTGCAGGTAGGGAAAGACAGCAGAACAGTGGGCAATCCCTCTGAGGCAGAGGGAGCAGCCATTAGGCTGCTTACTAGGTTTTATAGGGGGTGGAGCTTGAAGTGGTAGGCAGAATGACCTATTGATAGCTGATTGGAGGAGTGCTGGCGCATGCGCATGCACACACCCACAAAAAGGAAGTGTACCTCGAGTTTAGAAGAAGAGTGTGAAAGTCAGTGTTGGAGAGGCGTGTTGTTGTTCGAGGGTCCCACCATGTTGGGCAGGCGCCATGCTGGGCCTGATAAGAGCTCCAGAAAGGCAGATCCTATCAGCCGTTTTTAGGTCACACTTAAGCAAAACATTTTTTTAAACTTTCAAGTTATTCATATTTGATGAACCAGATGAAAAGGTTGAGCTAGGGCCGTGGTGGCAAATCTATGGCAGGGGTATTGTTTTTCTTTTAACCACTTACCAGAACAATTATCTAAATACAGAATGGCCAAAATTTTCCATAATTTTTTCATTAACTGCATAAGGTAACGTGAAATATAAAAATGACAATTTTATTAAATGTATTTAATACAAGGATCCATGGGTTCAGGTGACCCCTGGATAGCACTGCCAGAGCAAACCCTTAGATGGTTCAGTGGTTGAGACGAATGTTATTGATTGAAAACTGGTGGTCAACTTAATGCCAGTGGAATTAAATTACGATGCTGCTGAGCATAAGTGTTTCACCTGAGGAGAGTTGCCAGCATAAATAGAGATGTGGAGAAGGAGAAGGGAGGTGCGTTGGGGCCTTGAGGCTTTATGAGAACTCATACAAGTTGCTTGGGGCTAGGTAATGTTTTTCTCATGGATACACATAAAATAGTGTGGTGCCTTTCAGGACAGCCTTGGTCTTTGTTGTGTGACTTCTCTGCTTCAGCGTAGAACCCTCGTCCCACTAGCACAGCTCTTTCACCCTGCTGGCATAGGCTTCCTAGTTTCCACCACTGACCTTTGGGCCTTCCCGGCACAGATCCGTAAAAAAGACTGGCATGAGTCCTTCTTGTGGGTTCTGGACCTTCAGTTGGTCTTGTGGGAGGCATTGTCATGAGCTTTGGGTCTTCATCTGGACTCATGTGGGACATTGCTGTGGGATTTAGGCCCTTGGCTAAGTATTCTGTCTTTACGTTGTGGATTCCTGCATTTCTTTGTGTTAGCTCTGGGTGACCATTATAAAAATAATATTATAAATTCCCTGATTCTAATTGTTCTCTGCACAAACCCTGACTACAACAATGAAAGCTGTTAATGTAGGAGGTTTTTTTTTTTTTTTTTTTTTTTTTTCCTAATCTAAACCTCAGTAATGAGGTTTAACTTCAGTATTGGCACTTTGAAGTACATAAGTGGATTTGGGCCTGCAGCTGAGCCCTTGTCTCTTAAGAGATCACTGAGCTGGGGATTCAGGGTCAAATCTATGAGGTTGACTAGGCATTCAATCCAGGGTTCAGTGTGCATAGCCCCTTTCTCTGGCCGGCAGGTTGGGATGTCACAGTGTAGCTGGGAAGTGCTATATTGTTCTGTCCCCCTGCCAAGAGGAAGTGTTTCCCACAATCTCTGTCTAACTCAGTTCAATAGTAAGACAGGGACGCTTGGTCTCAAACATTTCTCTAGTTGTATTATGAAAACTGTCGTATCTGCTTAGTTGATTGTTCAGCATTATTTATTCTTGTCTCTTCTTTAAGACTGTGTTGCTTTCTGCCTCAGAATTAATATACCAATGTGATCGAGAAGATAGTGAGAGATCCACTTCAAATTCTGGTGAAGAAGGAAGAGGTAACCCCTGGAAAGGACCTGTGTTTTACAGTAATTTTGAAAGAAGGTAATGTTTTTTTCATGGATACACATAAAAACAACTGCCAAGGCTTTTTGATTTTGTCTTTTTTATTGAAACTCTGCTGAAAATGAAGAAACCAGGATCGTGTCTTAGTATTCGTAATGTGGCTAGCAGAGTAAGCACAAGATGGAAAACAAGGGCGGATGTGGTAGTGCATGCCTGTAATCCCAGCATTGGGGAGGCCGAGGCAGGAGAGTTGCTGCAAGTTTAAAGCCAGCCTGGGCTACATAGTGCTGTTGATATCTACTTATTTTCTTAGTAAGCAGAGGCAGGATCTAGGTACAGTGTAGCGTTGAAGTGCTGCATTGTGTGTGTTTCCTGCTCTAAATAAAACTGTCACCTTCCTGGCCCTGCCTGCCATGGTATCTTAGCAGCAGGGATGCTTGGTCTCATACATAGTTACCATTCAAGCCTGCGATTGACAAGGGACTCTTGGGAATAAGGCCTGTTAATATTTTGCAGGTGGTAACAGAAGGAAAAAGATGTTATCTGGAGGGGATCCAGGTAATAAACAAATGATACTTTTGTCACTGACTAATTGGTAAGTATTCCAGTTCCATGTTTAATTACATTATTAGTCTGCCAAAAGTGGGTAGAGAGAAAGAGTAACAGTCCTCTACCCACTCTAGCTGAGGGAAACAAAGGCCACAGTGGCATGCACAAAAGTGTGCGGAAATTTCTCTTCAGATCAGAATTTGGATATATACTCTCTTACCAGATTCTCGATTTTTACATACTGCTAATGGCTGTGGTTTTACACTGACCTGCCAAAGTATATTCTTAAGTATGTGTTACCTGCTTTGAATCCCTTGCTTTTTTTTTTTTTTTTTTTGGTCTTTTTCGTTTTTATCGGTACCGGGGATTGAACTCACAACTGCCTGCTTGCAAGGCAGGCGCTTATGCCGCTGAGCTAAATCCCCAGCCCCAAATTCCTTGCTTTTGTTTGGGTGAAATAAATTCGTGTATTGGTTTTCAAGGTGGTTTTTGTTAACCGGAGAACTTTTAAAGTCAGGCAGATGGACTGGGGATTTAGCTCAGCAGCACAAGTGCTTGCCTGGCAAGCACAAGGTTGTGAGTTCAATCCCCCATACCAGTAAGTTAATAAAAAGAATAAATATCAGGTCAGGCAGATGAATTAGGAAAATGATCCTAGCACCTTGTAATATAACTTGTTTAAATTGTATTGGGGGAGATTTGTGGTTGATCAGTAGGCTATGAAAAAGCACATGTGATAGGTAACCCAGATTTTGGACACAATAGTGTTTATATTAAAAGGTAAAAAATCAACAACAATGTTATATCTAGTTCTCCTTAGCCTACACATTTTTTGTGTGTCGTGTTGCTCATTTCTTGTGCTTTCTTGACAGTTTATAATGGGAGCTTTCTCAGCATTTTCTGGTAGTGGCTTGTGTTGGTCTTGGCTTACTTTTAGTGGTTTTAGCACTAATAAATTGAATCGTGCCTTGCTATTAATGTAAAAGTCACTTTATTTTTGCACAGTAGTTGATAGTAGCTGACAAGGAGGTAATCAGAAATGTCATGAACCCAGGTTAGGACATAGATTCATAAGTGAAACAGCATGACATTTGGATAAACAACAGTCGGTTTCTTTACATTTCTTTTTCTCTCAGCTTGGTGCTTGGATATTTTAAGTTAAGGATTTTTTGATAGGTTGTTTTGACAGAGAGCTGTGGTGGCAAATACGTTTCAGTCATTTATGTCACAGCACATGGAAAGAACTGAACAGAAAGCAATGTAATTGTGGGTTAAGAGAATAAATCCCTAGAGATTTCTCCTTCCTGGAAAAGGTTTTAAGTCCTGGACCAAGGCTGTCACATAGAACTTTCTGTGGTGGCAGAAATGTTCTGTATCTGCCCCATCCAGCAGGAGTGACAGCTTACACCTGGGGGATAGAAGGTGACTAATGCAGCAGAGAAACTGGATTTTCTAATTTAATTTTGTTTTATTTGTGATTTTGAGACAGTGTCTCACTATACAGTATAGCCTGGTCTTGAACTCACTAGTAACTCAAACTGGTCTTGAACTCTCAATGATCCTCCTGCCTCAGCTCTTGAATGCTACAATTATGGATGTCTGCCACCATGCCTGGCCTCTATTTAATTTTAATTATTTTAAATTTAAAGTTACATGTGGCTAGTAACTGATTCATTGAACAACATAATCTTAAACAGTAGTGAACATTTTAGAATTTAGAACATTTTAAAATTTAACATTTGCAAAAATGTGTCAGTGGTTTATGTAACTGTTCCTTTTGTTCTGTCTCTGGGTTGACATCTGTTGCAAGCTGCTGACCACTCTTGGCTTTGCCACGGGCTTTAATTTTACTGCTCCATACCCAGTACTACTGCCTGCTTTATAATTACTGATGGTGGGGTGCTGCACAAGCTCAGCTCTTGTCTTTCCCTGGGGGGAGGGTGGTGGAGGATAAAGAAAAACAGAGACAAGATGTGGAAAGGTGAGGTCAGGGGAGCCTCTTCTCCTGGTGCGAGAGAAAGAACCACTCCACGCCTGCAGCATGTTTATTTATACACTCAGGAGGCTGCTGTGGAGTCAAGTCCCTCCGCCTAGCAATCCGTTTGCCTGGCTCAGCTCACATGCCTCACGTTCTTGGAGCTGGAACAGCTCGTCCCTGAGGCTCACCTTGGGTGCTCTGTGTCCTCTGTGCTGGCCTTGCTTTACCCCCACACATGTGATCAGTCTCCAGCTTCAGCCCCTCCCCACACTGGAGATGCCTGGTAAAAATCTTCTTTTGCAGCCAGAGGAGTCTTAAATCCACAAATTTTTGTATTAACCACCAATTTTTTTCTTTTTCTCTAAATACTCTAATCAGTATCTAGTACTTCAGTGAAAAGCACGCTCTGTATAATCTGGGGCAAATAATCAGCCAACAATGGTTAGTAAGTAATTCACATTGTTCAGTAGTTTGTGTGCTGCTGGATTAGTGATATTCTGATCAATAATTTTCCTATTTTTCAGAATTTGCCGTGAGAGTCAACTTAGAAGACATTTGTGACCATGAATATTAAAGACAAGGATTCTTTGTGACGCTGAGGTTTTTTTCCAGTACTGCGGTGGAGGAAACGTCCGGGGACACAGTCAGTGTTATTTCGTTCCTGGTATGAGAGGAAAGTGGCTGCGGCTACTGAAAAGGTGATTAGAAGGCATCCTGTACTTTTTCCTTTGGGAATATTTAACTATTGTCTCAATGCTGAAAGCAGATCAGAAAGAGATTTTGATAGCAAACCAGTTTTAGTCATGAGTTCACATGAGGAAAATCATTGGCTTTATCTTAACTCTGTCAAGTTAGGTATTAAAAGACAGGGTTTGTAAGAATTCTTCCCAGAACTTTTTTCATAGTTCTGAAAAGGGTTATATTGGATGTTATTGTAGTCAGGGGTTTACAAGAACAATACAGTACAGGACACAGAATTGATAGTATTGTATCTAATGGCCACCCAAGGAGTCAAATACAAAGAAAGTGCAGGAAATCTGTCTATACACTAAAGACCTAGACAATCCAGCTGAGACCCTGAATCCCATGGCAGTATTCTGCTTGAATTCAGCTGAAGACCTAGAGCCCATGACAATGACTCATGCAAGTCTGTTTCACAGATCTAAGCTAGAAAGGCCCCAAGGTCAGCGATGGAATCTAGAAAGTCTGTGCCAGCGTGGTGAAGGATCTGTGCCAGCAGGAGAGGGTTCTTTACTGCAGCCAAGAAGCAATTGTGCTAGCAGGCTGAAGGTTTTATACTGGAGCTAAGAAGCAAAGCTTAAATAAGGACCTGGGCTCCCCCAAAAAGTACCACAGCCATCCTTGGCTACAGTGAGGTCCCAAGCTCCTCTGATGATGAGAACAGCTGAGTTTGTATTAGGAAGCCAGTGTGACGAGCTGCTCCTGGAGACTGAACAGCACACATCTTCCCCTGCGGAGCCAGGGAGCAGTAAAGTAAGGACCAGAGCTCCCCCAAAGTGAGCTGCAGCCATTCTCAGCAACAAGGTCCCAAGCTCCTCTGATAACAGCCAAGTTCGTATCAGGAAAGAAGCCTGACGAGCTCCTCCAGGAGAACCAGCTCTTCTTCCTCTCCAGGTCTCCTTTTTATCTTTGCAGCCGTCCTCCGGTGGGCCCTCACCCAGCACCACGCTGACGCAGCTCAGCTGGTATTAAGTGGACCACTAGGTTTTAATCCACCATAGAAGCTTTCTAAAAGTAAGGTGTGGTGAACCAAAAGGTACAGCTGTATAAAATCCGGCAGTTACATCACAGGAGCAAATCTGCCCTTGCATATTTTTCATTGGGCTGAACACATTACACAGTAAGTGTTCAATAAGTTATAATAAAATATATTTTTCTTTAAAGTGGTTTGGTTCTTATTCCTCAAAAAAAATTGTAGTTTTTGCCATAATCCCATTTTCAAAGGAAGATGAAACAGCACTTTGGAATATGCATAGACGAATTACATGAAAACATGGTATTTCATTAATAGATTACATGGTTTCAGGCTCACTGCTGTTGCAGTAGTGCACAGTGATCAGCACAGTGTTCACATACGCTGTCTGCCAGTCATCCGCTCTTTACGAGAGAAAAGCGTTTGCGTGTGGATTTCTCTCTGAGTGGCAGGCATTTCTGGTACATGCAGAATCACAGTAAGGTTCCCCTGAACCCAGCCGTCCCTTCATAGCACCTCAGTTTTTCTTTCCTTCCTTTCTTTGTTTTGTAAAGAGTAGAGTCTTATACAGATGTAAGGCTATGCACTCTCAAGCTATCACAAGAAAGCTACCACTGATTCAATTAGACGTCTTTAAAATTTTTGTATAAATATATTCACAAAATAACTAGGTGGCTGGAGGACTCCAGCACTTCACAGAGTAGAGCAGGATTCATAGAGACCTACAAGTGTTTGGAGTGTGGGTTAGGGTTACAGAGACAGCTTTGATTTTTAAACATCATTAATACAAATGCAGGACTTGTAATATCATTATTGAAAATGCATAAAATAAAATGTCACTTAGGCATTTATGTCAAATATTTAGATGATTGTTTTCATTCTGAAAGAATAATACTTTTTATTGTAAAGGATAGATTTTTAGACTAAGGACTAGTGAAGGCTTCTAAGAAGTAAAGTTTAACTTTTTTTGGTCAGTACT